ATGCTGCAGGCCCAGTTCCCTGGGCCCCACGCTGGAGGCCGCCCGCCCGCCCTCCCTGAGCCAGGGAGTTATTTTTGGTTCTCTGTCCAGACCAGTTCTGCCAAGACCTCAGGAACTGACAGGATCTAAAAAAGCCCACGGCAGAGCCTCAGTGGAATCTTGGCACATCCAGCCCGGGGAAGTGTCCCTCAGTCACGAGCCAGCCAAGGGGTCCTCGTGAGGGAGGGTGGGGGAGGGCTGGGCCAGCTTCCCTGCTATGGCAGCTGCGGTGCAGGAGTGGCCTGCAAGGTGGCTTCTTAGAGGAAGCTGAGCACCCAGAAGCAGGGCCCGCAGGGTGGCCCGGCAGCTCTCGGGAGGGACACATCTGGCAGAGCTGGAAGCCTGGGCCGGCTGTGCCCTGTGGGTGACATCTGCCTCCTGCCATCCTGAACGGCAGCCCGGACACTCATGGGCAGGCCGAGCTCACATGGCCACCAAGGAACTCAGGCTGGAGACAGAGGGGTCTCCGGGCAACCACGCAGCCCATGTGAGGAGGCTGCTGTAGGGCCCCTGGCCTGCCCCGAGCTTCTCGGTCTGTCTCCCTGGGCCCCAGCTTTAGTCCCCTAAAACTAGGGAAGGACTAAGCCTGCAGAAATCTGAGCTGGAGCTAGGATCGAATGTCCGTGCCTGTGACCAAGTACCGTCCCACCCAGGCCTCAGGCTGAGCCCAGAGCCCGGGGAGGGGTGCTGAGGACAGGGCCAGCCCGACACCCCTGGCACCTCCTCACATGGGCACACAGAGCAGGCCTCCAGGAGGGTGCTGGCCACATGCAATCTCAAGGACTTCCTGGAAGAACTGGATCTGCTAGGAACGGCTGAAGTCAGTGTTTAGAGCAACACTTCGGGTAGGGCTCCCTTCACGTCTGTCATCCTACGGGGTCCACCCACAGACTGCCGCACCCTGAGCCTAACAGTCCTGACGGGACGCAGCCACACGCATGTGAGCATTCCCCACCGTCCTTGCTCACCCTTGGCCACTTACTGGCCCAGCCCTACCGGGTCCTGGCAAGTGCAGGCCAGCCTCGGGGCCTGGCTGACCTTCCCTAGAGCCTGCAGGGCTCAGGAACAAGGCCACGCCTCCCCACAGCAGCGGGCCATGCCCTGACCTCCCCAGACCGGGGCAGGAGCTATAGCGAGACTCATCAGCAGGGACGCCGGGGCCGGCCCAGCTCCCGTTGGCTGGCAGGTGATTCGGAAAGCAGAGCAGCGACTTTGTTAAGATGTGCTCTTGAGACCGGGGCTCCGCACTGCGCGTGTCCTCCCTACCCTTCTAGAGAGCCTTGGTGCCAGCACGGCGGGGGCGTAACTGGGAGCGTCCTGGCCATCGGCTGGCTCTGTTTCCCAGAGAGGCCCTCTGAGGCATGGGCCCGAGGCCCTGGACCTGCCCCGGGCAACCTGAGAGGCATGAGCAGCCATGCTCGGGCTCACCGACCCGTGGCTGCCCAGGGAGACACAGGCCTGTGTCTAGCTTGGAGACAAGGACGGCTCACTGGGCTGGGCCTGGGTCCAAGACCTGCTCCAGGGGATAAAATACACTTCCCCTTCAGGGGATGCTTTGGACAGGCCGGGTACAGCCTCCTGTACTAGAAATAGGTTTTGGAGCCAAGGTTCAAGGTTGACAATGCCGTCCAGAGAGACCCTGGAAATGGAGCTGGGCGGCCGCGGGCCCGGGTCCCTGCCTCGCCTGCTGGTTTCTGTGCAAGTTCTGGGGTTGAGGAGTGTCGGCACGGAGAGCAGGTGGCACGGGGGCCAGCTACTTCCAGACTTTGGAGGACAAAGGGGCACCTCCTCCGTCTCACCCCTCGGCCCTGTAACTGGCCCACGAGCGCACTGTGACTTCTGGCCCACAGAGGCGCCGGCACACCCAGGAGCCAAGGTATTGGCAGGACCAGGGAGGAGACTACCAGCTTCTGAATGATACACCCCCGGTCCTGCCTGCCCACCCTGGGCAGCACCGCATGTGCCAGGCCACAGAGGGTGCGGGCCATGGGGTGTCTGGGGACAGGTGGCTACCTGCAGGAAGGGAGAGAGACTGAGTGAAGCAGCTGCAGGTGCCATGTCGGATGGAAGTCTGGGAGGAGGGAGGAAGGCGGCTTAGCTGCCCCTCAATACCTGTCCGTCAGTCTGCCGTCACCCACCTGTCAGCTGCCTCCGTCACCTCCCCATTCCAGCTCATCCTACCCCACCTCTTGCGCCAGACAGAGCTGAGCCCTTGGAGAAGACGCCTGTGCATTCTCGCGGAACCCCAGGGCCCGGGCGCCCCTGCCTTCACTCCTCAGAGCAGGAGTGGCTGAAGTGCGAGGTGGTGAAGGCCGAGGCGGGCCGTCTCATGGGGAGGAGGGGCACGTCCTGCTCTGCAGCGCCACCTCCCCACAGTGGGGGCATTCATGCCTTCTGCGAGCCAGACCCCGTGGGTGCCGACCTGACGCAGGCCTGGCCCCGCAGGCGGACCGACTCACGGGCTCTGCACACGGCACAGCCCTCCGGAGAAAGGCCTGGATGGTGTGAGGTGCGCAGCTGCATACCGAGGTTGGGAAGCGACGTGGCCTCTGGGGTCCATTTATCCCTCGCTCTCCTCCCAAGCCAACGGGCTCGGCGCCTGGGGTGGCCATGTGAAAGCCCCATGGCCAACTCCCCCGGCCGCTAGAGCAGGCCAGGCGGGAGGAGGGGCCGGCTCACAGGACGCACATGCCGCAGGCCTTGGCTTCTCGCAACTTCTCCCCCTGGGTTCCCAGCTTGCCCCTTGCCTGAACTGAGAGGGTTTCTCTGGGCACGCCATCTGTGCGTTGGGGAGGAAAGAAGCTGCTTGCGGGACAATGACCACAAAAGCCCCACGGCGGGTTCTGAGAGGCCCCAGGGGCCACTGGGTGGGAGCGTGGGCAGGGTCTGGAGAGGGGTGGTGGGGACTCAGGGCCACTGTGGGGAGAAATGTGACGACTGCACCGAACCAAGTGAGCATCCGCTGCAGAACACGCTCTCGGCCGGACAGCCCGCCATCGTCAGCGGTGCCAACAACCATGGGCTCCCAGGGTGCCAAGCAGGAGGGATGGCAGAGGCCAGCTAGCCCAGGGCCTCCTGGAGCTGTAAAGCCACCTGCCGCCACCACAGCAGGGCCGGGCACCGTGAGGCCACAGCCGCCAGGCGCAGCGCTGTGCCCTCGTGGTGGGGCGGGTTCCTTCTCGAGTTGCGGAGGCCGCAGGCCGCTCTCAGCCAGACAGCCCAGTTCTACGCAACGCCCAGGCGCCTGCGGCAGCTCTGGGCAGCACTGGGAGTGGGGGCCGGCGAGGCAGCGAGCGGGCCATGTCCTCGTGTCTCTCGAACAGCATGAGGTCTGTCAGTGCTTGCTATCTCTGGAGGCTTCGGGGTTACGGTAGGCATCTGGAGCGTGTGTTGGGGGGCATGAGACTGAGAGCATGACACGAAGCCTAAGGAGGGCGTGAGGCAGTCGCTCCATTACCCTGCAAAGTGCATGGGATGGGAACGCACCGCCTTCGTGTTGAAAGCTGGTGAAGAGGGCTAGCTGCTCTTCATTACAGAGCCCTGGACACGGGGCTGGGATGCGACGCGTGCTGTGACAGAGGGACTTGGCACTAAGGAGTTCGGGTTTCTGCAAGGGAACACCTGGAAAGGAGACAGGTAAGTGGGGATTCACCGCGCCCCACATGGGTCACCCCACTGGGCTCTGGTTGGAAACGTGACCTTGAGAGAGGGGTGCTCTTTTCCCAGGCCGTGAGAAGGGCTGCTCCTGGCTGTGGACGGCCAGTCCCACACGGTGCTGCGCTGCGATCGAATTTCCTTTCCTATCCACACTATGCGGAATTTCATCTCTCAAGGAACCCTAGCAGCCCGCATTCTCTACCCGAGGAATCTGACCCAAGTGCACACACCCAGATGGCAGGTGGTACTTCATGTTACCCTGTTGTTCTCCAGATGTGTGACTAGCTCTGTGGGCCATGAACCAGCCCTGCAGGGGGCCTGGCTAGGGTGCGTCCCGGACTGCTGCCTGCCCCGGCCGCTGCGTGCCCTGACCGCTGCCTGCCCCTGCCGCTGCCTGCCCTGGCCGCTGCCTGCCCTGGCCGCTGCCTGCCCCGGCTGTTGCCTGCACTGCTGCTCCTCCGCGGCATGCAGTGTCGGGGCAGCCCTAGCGGGAGCCCTGCCAAACAGCCCTGTGACACCAGGCGGGCACTGTGCACTCACGCACCCTGCCTGAGCTGCGCGTGTTGGAGGCGGGCGGCGCAGGCCGCGTCCCCGCAGGGGTCTGGGCCTACCTAGTTTTTGCATGCATGCACGGAGCCTTTCTTCAAGATTGGACACTCTGCTCTGGAGTTCATCGTAGTCATAGGCGCCAATCTCTTCTTGCAGCTCGTTAAGCACTGACGTCAGATTCTGGACCTCCTCCTTAAACTGCAATACCAATTTGGCATCGGCCTTGTACTCTTCCAAGACAGGTATCAAAGGCCTAAGGTCATCCATTTTCGCTTTTATCGCCTGCAAGGTTAAAATAAGCTGGGTTCAGTGCGATGCATGCAAGAACTCCTACCACCCTGCCTCGGCCGGCTTCTCCCTGCGAGGGAGAGTGTGGACCTCTGCTTTAGCGAGAGGGTTAGTGCCTCTGGTCCAGCGAGTCAGAAGAGCGTATTAAACAGTCCTCAGAACACCAACATCTTTGGGAAAGGTCTTTATTGTCAGTTTAGAATGCAACATCTTAAGGTTACATGCGTTAAGTCACATACACAAAGTTCTTTTTTTCTTTCTTTTTCAAAAAAATGCATTGACAAGGGTCCAAACTAGTCATGAAATGCATCTACAGTCGCATGCAAAGGAGGGTCCTGGTTGTGTGGAGGCTCCTTAGTGGGATGGCGCTAGTGTGGGGACTCAGTAAAAATGCATGGTGCAAAACCTCTCTGGCTCTTTCTGGGTACAGGGAGTGGCTGCTTCTGGAGTCACTGCAGCATTGAAAAAACTCTTTTAAGTTAGCCCTGCAAGCAAGAAAACGAGACACCGGTGAAGAGCTAGCTCGCTGGCCTGCCTGACACAGACAGCCGCTAACAGACAGTATTTTCGCGGTCACTGCGAGTCACTTTGCACGCTGGAGGGAGCCGAACGGGCTGCTCTGACAGTGCCTTCGACGCCCTCACAGCTGTCTCTGCTGGGATTCTGAACTGCAAGTAAAGCACGAGCCAGGGCTAGGCCAGGGCTTGCTTCCCCAGCGCTATCGTGCCCCAAATTTGGGAGCTTGGAGAGATGCCTGCGTGGTTAATGTTTGTGAATGCTTGCAAAGAGGGGTGACCTCGTGGGTGCTCATTTCGCCCAGCTGCCGAGGAGTCTGCTGACCACCGAGAAGGGAGGGCTGCTGGCCCCTCAAGGACAGACACAGGCCCATTCTGGCCAGACAGGTGGGACTTTCTCCAAGCTAATTCAGGATGACATGTCAGAGGCAGGGACATCTGCCAGGAGTGATGGGCTCGTCTCGGGGCTGGGCCCGTACTGCTTTATTTACCATCTGGATCTTAACTTCATTAGCTTGCCCTGCAAGTCTGGCTAAGGTATGGCTTTTGGAAGAGAAGTCGTTCTTGCTTCATGCAGGGACACATCAAAGGGAAACCTCAGCAGAAAAACGAGGGGGAGCCCGACGGGCGGCATCAGCAGTTCTCGGGCGAGCAAGGCTGTGCGATCGACCTGCTCGTTTACATCTGGGCCAGATGCCTAATTAGCACGCATGTACACCGCAGTGAAGGCGGCAGGCCATGCTGAGGCACGCGTAGGTGCACACGTGAGCACGGCTACCTCACTTTAGGTCCAACGAGCCGTGGCGTGAGCGTCCGTTGCCTGGAGGTGCGGAACACTCACCAGAGGCGAGAAAGATGCGGTATCTTTCTCTTTTTCCCTGGCAGGCTACAGTGCGCCTTGTCACCGCGAAATTAGGTCAGACGTGAAAAACTGCCCCGAGTGATCCCTGCTCAGAAATGGCTCTAATCAATTAAGCTAATCCTCGGCTAATGTGACCTACCTGCAGCAGCTGCGGAATGACAAGGGCCGATAATGAGGTCCCTCCCCAGCTCCTGTGAGGCTTGGCGAGAGAAGCGCGGGGTCTGGGACCCTGCTTCCACACCAGCCTGGAGGAGGCTCCGGGAGCTGACCTGCGCCGCCCGCCCGCCCCTCACGGGGTCCTTCGCTGAACCAGAGCCACGGCGGGCGGCAGAGTGCCGGCGAGGCCCTTCCCGGCCCACGCCGCCAGTCTGCGGGGAGGGCACACCCACGTACCTTGAACTGCCTGGCCAGGTGCTGCTTGTGGCTCTCCTCCACCTGCCTGAACTTGGACTCCAGCCCTTTCATCTGGGTCTCCATCTTCTCCACGTACTGTAAGTCTCTCTGGGTCCGCCTGTCCAAGACCTCGATGGACTGAGACATGTTCTGCACCTGTCAAAAGGGCAAGAGGCTCAAGGACAGGGCTGCGGCTGCGGCTCGGACGCGGGGCCCTCCTGGCACGGCAGCACGGCAGCACGTGCCCGCTGCGCACTGGCCATCAGCACTGCGCCTTTTAGGACCCAGCACAGCAAACTGGTTCAGAGCATCTCTGCCCCAGAGGGGCTCTTACAGTCAGGGCGGCCAACCCGGCGGGGGAGCCTGGCAAGTCTGCTGGCTGGAGCTCCAGCCACAGGGCTTGGGGGATTCAGCTTTCTGTCTTTCAGGGGTGCAAGGGGATTGTCTCTAGTCTCTCTGTGGCCAGATGAAGTCAGTTCAGCAAGCCGCATGCTGACGGCATGAGGGAGGACACTGTCGGCTGCCCTGCCCCCAGGTGTGCCCCTTCCCCTACATCTCACTGAGCGTCCTGAGAAGGCTGAGTGCCTCCGTGCAGGAGGAAGGAGCGGGAGCGGGGCTGCTCCCCCTGACCCGTTTCCCCCTCGCAGGCCACCTGTCACGCCCCTCCGTATCATGCATGACACTGACAGGACGCCGTCAGGGAGCAGCCGCCACAGATGAAGCGCTGGTCTGCATCTCTACAGGCAGATCTGAATGGAGTCTGGCCTCAAGGTGGAACTTTAATATTCAGCGGGATTCCGGGGAGCTTAGAAGCGGCACGGCTCCAGTGTAGTCACTTGGCAGCGGTTCATCTTCAGGGGGCCGGCAGGGCCTACGGAGGGGGCGGAGCTGGGGCTGATGCACCATAGCAGGGTCATTTTCTCAGATCCAATCCAATTACTAGGGAGAAAGACACTCCATCCGGCAAATCTTCATTTCTAGTCTTTTGCTGAATTTGAATATGCTCCCTTCCGGGCACAAATCACGAGGCTGAGGCTGAGGCTGAGGCTGAGGCTGAGCTCTGCCACACCCGGCTCAGTCCTGGTGCACTCGCCACCTCCAGCCACGCCCTTCAAGGCCAAGCAAATGCAACAAAGCAAAGGAAGTAAAACGGAACCGAGGCCGAGGCCGGAGGAGGGAGAGCAGACTGCTTATCTCAGCACCGCAAAGGCAGGGCATCCCGGGCTCCTGGGAACCCCGAGTCTGAGCAGCACAGTATCGAGGAGCCTCTTACTCCCCGACCCCTTCAGGCACTCTGTGGGAACCGAAATAAAGTTGCTTCTTTCACTTCCCTGCCTTCCTCACCTGTCCGATTCTGTCACTTGGAACAGTTGCAGCCTCTTTCAAGAAAAGTTGTAAAGTTTGGTTTCATTCATGCTTCAAAGCCCAGCCCAAATGCCACCTCCTCCAGGGAGGCTTCCCTGATGCACTAAGCTGGGAATGGCTATACAATGTTTGGAAGCAACATTACCTTGCTGGCACAATGCCACGCAGTGGTCTCAGCTATCTGGGGACAGGAACTTCATAGGGAGCTGGCGCTGAGTCTCACCCACATCTGCACCCCAGCCCCAAGTCCAGACTCCTCAGGCTCAGGCGTGGCCCCATGGCCACCTGGCTGAGAGGGACTGGTAAGCTCGCACTTGTTCCTCAGGCCACACATGGCACAACTGGCTCTTCGTTCCCCAGAGAAGGATATTTTCAACAAATTTCTAATTTCGAAGTCCTTTAGCTCCCCGCGCCCCATGCATCCCTGCCTGTAGCCGTCTCTGAGCAGCAGCTAGCACGCTGGCCACAGAGCCACCACAAAACGCCAAGCCCATGCTCCACCAGGCGTGGTGCAGGTGGGAGGTGGGGCGGGCAGACACACCTGGCCTCAAGGGAGGGGCTCGCGGTGTTCACAGAGTGCTGGCCCGTCCTACCGGCGACCTCACTTGGTCTTTACAAAACCCGCAAGGGAACAGTGTTTTGAGACCCACTTCACATGCAAGGAGACCCAGCTTCAGAGGGGTTAAGCCACGTGCCCGTTGCCACACAGCCAACTCAGGCTGGGCTGCCTCCAAAGCTTGTGCCCCCAACTCAGAGCCACGCTTTGGAGGACAGGCTGTGCCCGGCTGCCTTTGCTCCCTGTGTGCTAAAGGCTCCCAGCGGTCTTCCATCTGGCCGCACGTCGGAACCTGATGGAGGGTCCAAGCCGCTACCCAGACCCCACCCGGCCACCCCAGGCAGCGACCGCCAGAGCCGGGGAGGGGTGGGCCAAGAACTCTGCACCTCTGCACTCTCCTGGGCTTTACCGTGAAGCAAGGCTGGGGAAGCCTGGACGGGCCGCGGTGCGCTTAGCTGTGACCTGAGCCCATCAGAGCTGAGGGTTCTTTGTGCTCTCTCCCTGCCTCTGTCGAGGAGGAGGGTGGTGCAGGGGGGAGGGGGGGCGGGCAGACACACCTGGCCTCAAGGGAGGGGCTCGCGGTGTTCACAGAGTGCTGGCCCGTCCTACCGGCGACCTCACTTGGTCTTTACAAAACCCGCAAGGGAACAGTGTTTTGAGACCCACTTCACATGCAAGGAGACCCAGCTTCAGAGGGGTTAAGCCACGTGCCCGTTGCCACACAGCCAACTCAGGCTGGGCTGCCTCCAAAGCTTGTGCCCCCAACTCAGAGCCACGCTTTGGAGGACAGGCTGTGCCCGGCTGCCTTTGCTCCCTGTGTGCTAAAGGCTCCCAGCGGTCTTCCATCTGGCCGCACGTCGGAACCTGATGGAGGGTCCAAGCCGCTACCCAGACCCCACCCGGCCACCCCAGGCAGCGACCGCCAGAGCCGGGGAGGGGTGGGCCAAGAACTCTGCACCTCTGCACTCTCCTGGGCTTTACCGTGAAGCAAGGCTGGGGAAGCCTGGACGGGCCGCGGTGCGCTTAGCTGTGACCTGAGCCCATCAGAGCTGAGGGTTCTTTGCGCCCTCTCCCTGCCTCTGTCGAGGAGGAGGTCCCGCCTAGCGCCACCCCCCCCTCCCCCCATGCCGCACAAGCAAGAGAAGGGAAGGGAGGAGAAAGAGGAAGTGCCACACAGACCAAGGCCCTGCCCGCTGTGACTGCAGGTCATGCCAGGGAGCGGTCCTCCTCCTCCAGGCAGGCACCTGCCTCTGCCCTGTGCAAGCAGGCTTCCCAGCTATACGCAGGCAGAAAGGAGAGCTGAGGCTGGCGCTCCCAGGGCCACAGAGCTCTCTGGCACCCATTTCTGAACGACCCGTCTTCCCACCAAGTGCCTCCTCCCAAGGGCCCGACTCTGTTCTCTGTCCTCCCTGTGCCGACCCGAGGTTCCCAGGTGCCACCGCCCTCTGGTTCTGAATAATTAAAAGTTCAACTAGTCTCTGGTCTAGTTTGGTATTAATAGACATTTATGGAATCTGTTAAATACCTTTAATTCTGGCAGAACGATTTACTCAGGTGGCCAAAGATGGCAGGAAAAACACCACCCTCTTCCTTAAAGGTGCTCTGGGAACTGGGCCCTCGCTGGGTGCTGCACCGCCGCCACACTGCCCGAAGGAGCGAGGGCTTACATGCACCCCGGCAGGGGCCAGAGGCACTGGGTACAGAGCAGCGGGAACCTGGGGTCTGCAGACCCAGCAGAGCCTGGCAGAGCCTGGCAGAGCCCGGCAGAGCCCGGCAGAGCTGCGGTGGCCTGCCTCTATCCCGCTCACTCCCTTGACAGCTGAGGAACTCGGGCCTCAGCAGGGCAGCCTACTTTGCACGGGGGTGGGTAGGTGAGGCTCTGTGGTTGAGCTGGGCTCGGACCAAAGACCACCACCCAGCAGGGGCGATGTTGTCACCCTAGCAGGGGCAATGTTGTCCTGCTGCAGACTGCTTTACCTGCCCTGGCGTGGGGGCAGCAGGGGACTGTCCATCCTCTCAGCTTGGGTCCTGTCTCCGTGGCAGAGGCCGACCCCACCCCACACAGACCTCCTCCACACTCCCATGCTGATGCCCATTTTGGAAAGACTAAGGCCAACCTGCAGGAAATGTCACAGCCTTACTGGGGACCTGAGCAACCCCTTCAGGGCAGGAAGGGTCTTTGCCTGGGGAGGGGACTAAGCGGAACCGGAGGCTCACACATGTCTCCTTCCTCCCTAGTGGCTCCCAGGGGACCCTAATGTTCAGGTTAAACATAGCAGATGGGCAGGCCCTCAGGCAGAGTGCTGGAAGCTAGGGGACCGCCCCCTCTGTGGGGGTGGAGTGGTCCCACCAGACAGAAGCCCAGCCCCTGGGGCTGAGGGCTGGCTTCCTGCCACTGAGCCACCCACTTGCACGGGCCAGCCTGCCCCTCGGGGCCCAATGTCCCCCTTCCAAAAGGGAGTGAAAACACCCACGGATTTCACAGGGGTCTGCTGAAGAGTAAGTGAAATTATAGCTCAAACACGTGGAGGCCGACGGCACACGGCCGCAGCCACGCGGCCTGGGATGTGACGGCGCACCAGGACGGCATTGCAGCGGCCAGGGCCTGCTTCGGGCACTCAGGCAGAGAAAAGGTCTCTGTTGTGAAAAACCCAGCTGGCCGTGCAGCCCGGGGTCCCAGAGGCCCTCATGCAGCTGCTGGGCCCTTTGGGGTACAGTTCACAGGCCTCATGGGGATGCGGTGGCACAGGCGTCCACAGTGGCCAGGAGGCAGGCCCACGCCGCTGGTTCTGGCCTCTCTTCCCTTCATTCACAAATATTCCGAGTGAGGACACACCAGCAAGGAGCCGGGTGGAGCCTCGGGCTGGCCCAGCCCTGGCGCTGGCACACACACACACACACGTGCACACACGCCCGCACGACTCACCTTCTCCAGCAGCTGCCTCAGCTGTTTGGTGCGGGCATCTCGTGAGCACATGGTCTGCTGCGGGGCGACCACTGTGCAGATGCACCTGCCCTCGCTGTCCTGGGCAGAGCTGTACACCTGCCAGCTCTCCTCAGGGTTGGCGGGCAGCACCTGCAGGGGGGTGGTGAGGGGAGGCAGAGAGAAGAGCGTAAGATGGTGCCGCAGGCAGCCCGCCGCGCACAGCCCGAGAGCGCGCACAGGGAAGGCTCTGAGGGCATGCGCTGGCCCCAGGAGGGAGGGCGACCTGGCCGTGAGGCTCAACCCCTGTGAGGGGAGCCAGGCCCAAGGTCAAAGAGGCATGATTCTACTGCTTTGGCAGCTCAAGCTCAAGGGATGTCTGGGACCGGGCCACGGACGGGGCTGGTGTGACGGAGGGGGTGACTGGAGACTGCAAACTGGGCATACAGTGCGAGGGAGGCAGGAGTCTGGTGCCCACGGTAGTCGCCAGCTCAGAGCCAGACCTCCCGGTGGCTAGCCAGGTCACTGGCACGGCACAGCCAAGCCACGCTCTGCTGCCCTGACCGAGATGAAGCACCCTCAGGGAGCGGCCAGGTCCATAGCCCGTTAGCCCAGGGCGGCAAGGCCCCCGAGCCAGCATCTTCCTGCTGGAAGCCTGGTAGAGGCGGCCCAGCGAAGATGCCCAGCTTCCAATTCTGTGCCAACTCCCACCCACGAGCCATTTGGTGCATGTCCCCAATCGCTGGTGACATGGACTCGGGTCAGTCCAACTGTAGCCCCGAGGCCTGCGTATGGCGGGTCCCCCTGCAGCCCAGCTCAGGGGGTCCTGGACGCAGGTGCACAGGCAAGCACCAAGCCCCCAATACTCCCTGAGCACGCCCCACACCTCCTGCTGGCCCTGCAGCTCGCCCTCAGGCTCCCACAAGGCCCCTTTGCCATCCCCTCCCGGTTGTCTAGGGCAGAGGGTGGGAGGCGGAGTTGGGCGGGAGGATCTATAGTAGCGATTTGTTTAATCTCATTCATTTCCAGCCTGGAAGAGCAGGGCCAGAGGCTGAAAACAAAGTCACCAGGAAGGAACCAGGAAGGAACCAGGCATCCAGGGCCCCGAGAGCAGCGGCCCACAGGGGCGAGGAGGGTGGGCCAGAGCTCCTCTGTGGGAGCTTCTGGCAGCGGCAGGGAGGGCAATGGCCAGTTGTCCTTCACCTCTCCTTCTCTCCTGGAGGGCCCGCTGGGCCTGGGCCTACCCAGGGTCCTTTGTGGGTGGGTGGTTCTGGGTTGGCCCTGCTCTGGGAACCCTGACTGCTCCCCCGCCCCCCAGGCCCGGGAAGGAAGGCGGTGGTCAGTAGGGAGAAGTGCTCAGCAGGCTGCCTCCCAGCCCCGCCCCAGGCCCAGGCCCTCTGAGGGGACGCCTGCAGACCAGTTTGGGACTTCAGGAAGGAACATAGCTGGGGGGACTGGTTGCTGCCCGCCTGGAGGGCCCCACTCCGGCCGGTCCAGTCCAGCTTTTACAAAGTAGGGCGGGCTCGGAGTCCTGCCAGGACTGAACCCAGGATGGTGCCCAGCAATGTCTCCACCCCTTACTTGCTGCGTGACCTTGGGCTAGTCCCCAAGTCCCCAGCCTGCTTCCTAACCTTTCAAGGAAGGACTTACTAGTGAAGGAGCACTAAACCTCTGAGCCCGGGGGACCAGCAGGAGGAAGCATCCCTCCAGGAACGCTGGGTGGGGATGTGGGCCGGGTCGGCGCAGGAGTGGCAGGAGCTGGGCAGTCGCCTGCAGGGTCATCCCCTCGGCGCGCAAAGCCGGCTGGCGACCCCTATCCCTGGCCCTGCCCTCCACCGCCCCCCAGGGCGTGGTGTCCCGCGTGGAGCCCGCCCAGCCCGGGGCTCCCGACAAGGGAGGACTGAGGGAGGAGGACGAGGAGGCAAGGAGGGGCCGCGCGCAGGCGGGGCGCACTTACGCCTGTGCTGCGGTCCAGCGTCCCGCCGCTGGCCGCCGAGAGCCTGGTGGTGTTGAGGCCCACCAGTGAGGGCAGTGTCTGGGACATCCAGTTGGTAATCATGGCCATGGTGCTCAGCACGACCCCGATCTTGAGCAGCGGCACCGACATCGCGCCTCC